GATCTTGTATCTCTCTCAGCTCGGGTTGACCCTGGCAGACAATGTCGGAAGCCTGCCTCCTGAATAATCTAGATCGTGTAAATGGGCACATAAAACCCCTAAATTGAAATAAAGCGACATGGACACCTAGGCAGCAAGATGTAACCAACAATGTGAACTGAGATAAGAAGACAAAGCATTGCCTTTGACAAGTTATCGCACAAGTCACCGAGGGACTAAGATGTCTTATGGGTGCTACGTGATGGAACAAAGTAAAATCTCCCTTACCCAACAACAAATTTATGCTTCAATGAATACATCAAAAACAGCAACAAGAATAACAAGAACAACAAGAACAAGAACAACAACAACAAAAACAAAAACAACAACAACAACAACCACAACAACAACAACAACAACACCATTAATAGCAACAGGAATGACAGCGACAGTAACAAAAATATCGCCACACCACCTAAAAATCCCTCAGAACCAAACCAAACCAAACAACAATAATCAACAACACCAACAACAGCAACAAAACCACCATCATCACCACCACCACCACTGCCACCAAAAACAACAACAGCGATAACAACGACAGCAACAACAGCAACAAAGAATAAACAATTACAATAACAACAAATGCAAAACTAAAAAAAACAACATCTTCATTACGACAAGCTAACGAAAACGAAATAAAGAATTAAAAAACAAATTGAATAGGATGAAACATTTTCAGGAGAGTATCAAAAGGCTGCAGGTCATAACTGAAAATCTCTAAACCTAAATGAACGTGAAGCTAAGTCTAACGAGGACAGGTCCTTAGCGACGCACAAAAATGTCGTCAAAGGCGAAGACAATTATGTGGCCGCACCCTTCCCACAATCCTGGATAATGATCGACCCTTTGAAGAACGTGGAAATAAGCTACAAGACAAGACGGCATCAGAAAGAGATCGGTCTCCACAGCGTTCCCGGAAATGACCAAATGAGCCCAGAAGTCATTGTCCCTTGTGCCACAATAATTATAGGTCTCACAGTGGTGCGCACATCGGAAATGAACTGCCTTCCACGTGACCACCACGTCTTTAAATGAGGAGTGGAAATTTGATCCAGTTTTTTTCTTCTGGTATCGATTCTCTGGATGAGAAGCGAGTAATATATTTTTTGTGTGCGTTAGACCTCTTCCGTTCGCTCATTATCTCGACTATCTATTTAAAACAAAAATCCAAAATTATATCACGCCCCCCCCCCTCCTTGATGTCATAACGGTTTACACATTTTTAAAACTCAAGGGAAACAGTCTGGTACTTGTTGCCCTCTCCAAAACATTAAATTGTACAGTCCTTAGGTCATTCATTCAGTCACATAAGGCTGATTTCTTCGATACCAACCTTATCGATACCACAGATTTCCGTCATCCATATAAACATCTGCTGAAAGAAGACAAACTCGTTTAGATTTTTCTCAATTGGAACATTTCCTTCATGATCCCTTCACAGCAGCTGCGTGGCTCAGTCCTGTTGAAGTACTTTAAGAAATTAAACGTAGGAATTTTTACGACACCAACGACATACGTTACATCATTTAGGAAGTGGGCTCCATCCGTGCCTGTCAGGGTCAACCCGGGCTGATGGAGATACAACTTCTCAGGAGAAATGTGGCGATACTTGATAAAAGTTCTCCCCATTTGGGAATGGAACTCGGTTTTCTTGCGAGCGACTGCGAAGCGCCTATGTTGAAGGCTTACGTTAACTCTGCCACAGAAAGTAATATAATTGTGAAGAGCGACGTTTGCGTCAAGGGACACTCTGAAGGATGAAGGACAAAGTAGTGAATAGAAAGTACATCCTTTACTTTGGGATGGCACATTTTCCGTTCCAGAAATTGTAGAGAAGAGGAGATAGAACAAGCCAAATTGAACCACAGAAGAACAGTCCTTAAAAACTAAAGTAACCTTCACCCTTCAACTATAAAACAAAAACTACAGTGACCCTAAAAAGAAATGAGAGTCAAAATTTTAAACATTTCGTCGCAATTGCGATTGCGCCGGCTAACCCTAACGGACTGTATTTTACAGGAGGAGCGAGCGCCCCCCCCCCCCCCCCATATAATGTTTAGTTTCATCCCGCAGTAAAATGTCGGCCGATGGGTTGTTCGGCTTTATTTCAAACGTTTTAGTAAGTAGGAACATTCCTAGCCAAATCTCAGACCTGTCTTTGGTTAGGCATATTATATACAATAGATACTTTATTATTGGTTCGAGAAATTTACAAAAACATATAAAAAAAAGAAGCAAAAACAGAAACAAAAAGAAAACAAAACAAAGAAGCAGACAACAGCTCCCCTCCCCCTTCCTCATTTTTTAAAATTAAAAAATTAAAAAGTTACAAAATTGAAGTTTTTCAAGTTAGCCGGTCTTGACACGAAGGCGATGATTTGTCCTATAGGATTCTGGAAGGACTGATGGACAAGCGGAAGTGTGGTTTGGCTCAGGACGGTTCCTCCATAAACCCTGTGTGAACATTTATCCTTTGGGACAAGGTGCTATCCACCGGCGCCTGTGGTGTAGCGGTTTGGCGCTTCCCTGTCCCACGCAGAAGGCCGGAATTCGAATCCCGGAAAGGGAAGATTTTTATCAAGTCTCGGACTTTCTGCTGGAATGTTGTATCTCTCTAAGCTGGGGTTGGTCCTGAGAAGCAGGGTCAAAAGCCCACCTCTTAAATGTTCTAAATTGTATCGATGTGGGCATAAAAATTGCCACACGAAAAAATAAAAAAATAAAAGGTACTTTCCGAATGTTGTGTTTTGAAGTTTCTGTATTTTGAAGATTCATAGGGATCTCAAGCCAGCACTTTCATTATTGATATCACCAGTGGGACCTATAAGTCGCCTAATCGCCTACCCAAAGAGCTTTAAAAAACCCAAACAAAACGAAAACACAAAAGATGTATTAAAATTTAGCTTAAAGACGACAAGTAGGATTCCATCTCTTGGGAGTTATTCCTCTTTCGATTTTTTAAAGACTAATTGGGAAAACAAAAAAGAAAACGGAACAAGTAATTATCCCAGAGTCTCGAGAGACTGATTGGAGCTATAGCCCAGCAAAAGTAACAGTAGTCCAGGCTTTAAAAGTGCTCTCAAGGAGGAACGAGAAGGAACGCCACAGAAGTAGGAGCATGGCAGACTGTTCAAGGAGCTTTTCGAGAAGTAACCGATGTCACATTGGGCGAAATAAGTACAAACAAGGGTAGGCTGAACAGTTTCTCCAGGAAATTTAGAATCTTGAACTCTTCTCAACGGCAGATCCTGCTGCCGCCCCATCTCTCCCCCCTTCTCTCTCTCTGTCGCTCTCTCTCTGTCGCTCTCTCTCTGTCGCTCTCTCTCTCTCTCTCTCTCTCTCTCTCTCTCTCTCTCTCTCTGTTTTTCTGCTGGGAGGTTGTATCCCTTTCAGCCGGGTTTGCCATGCCAGGCAGGTTGGAAGCCCACATCCTAAATTATCTCATTATGCCGATGGCAGGCGCAGAAATCCCCTACGTTTTCTTTAAAAAGTAAAAGAAGAAGAATTTGACATTGTCGGCCACCATCTAATCCTGGTCCTAGTTCTGTGGAGTGCGCCACAAACTCAGTGCGTTAGTGACGCTGCCCATTTCTCCGATGTTAGTTCTGTTGGTACGATGTATTTAGCGTCGATGCCCACTTGCCCTCGTTTTGTTTATCAAGACCAGTTTCACTTCGTTCGATCCGATTTTGGGAAACGAAACCCATTTTTTTTCTGGGTCAGAATCTGGTGTGGCAAAGAGGCGGGCGAATAGGTCAACATCTGATGCTTGATATCTATGAAACAGGGGAGAGAGAGAGAGAGAGAGAGAGAGAGAGAGAGAGAGAGAGAGAGAGAGAGAGAGAGAGAGAAGAGAGAGAGAGAGAGAGAGGAAGGGAAAGAGAAAGGAAGAGGGAGAGCGAGAGCGAGAGAGAGAGACAGAGAGACAGAGAGAGAGTGTGTATGTGTGAGAGAGAGAGAAAGAGAGAGAGAAAGGGAGAGAGAGAGAGAGAGAGAGAGAGAGAGAGAGAGAGAGAGAGAGAGAGAGAGAGAGAGAGAGAGAGAGAGGGAGGAAGGGAAAGAAGGAGAAAGCGAAAGAGAAAGGGGAAGGGAGAGAGAGAGAGTGTGGTGTATGTGTGTGTGTGTGTGTGTGTGTGTGTGTGTGTGTGTTTGTTTGTTTGTTTGTTTAGTATAGGGTTTTACGGCGCTCGCAACTGCATAAGGTCATATGAGCGTGCGGGACACACCTAATACTTTTTCGTTGGTAGGAAATTTTGAAGGCTAGGTGTAGATCTTTCCTACCAGAAGATCAGGGGTATGGCAGAAAAACAGCAGTTAGGAGGAGCCAAGGAGTAGCAGTAGAAAGGCTGCAGAAAGAGTCAGGAGCCCAGAGGAGGGGGCAAAGGAGGTGAGGGGGTGGGGGCAGAAAGTGGAAATGAAAGCAGACAACAGAACATTGTTAGAGATCAGGAAAGGATGTGAAAGGAGACAATTTTAGAGAAGAAAATTTTTTGGTCGCTACCCGGAATCGAACCCGGGACCTTTGAATGAGAGGCCAACACCTTAACCTCTAGGCCACGAGAGCCCCCCTGTGTGTGTGTGTGTGTGTGTGTGTGTGTGTGTGTGTGTGTGTGTGTGTGTGCGTGCGAGAGAGAGAGAGAGAGAGAGAGAGAGAGAGAGAGAGAAAGAGAGAGAGACAGAGTGAGAGAGAGAGAGAGAGAGAGAAGGAGAGCGAGAGACAGAGAGAGATATGTAATACTGGCGGGGTGGGATTTGTCTAAAAATTAAAAGAAGTCTTTTGTTCTGAAGGGGAGAATGATATAATAAGGTCGAGATTAATTTTAAAAACACGACAATACGGCCAGTTGTAAATTTATTACTTAATCTGAGAGTCCCCTCCAGTCACATCGGAGATGAAAGCCCCTGACCCCTTCATATTTTTGTACAAGCACAGAACAAACAAACAATAAAAGTTCACATTCAAATGTGCAACGTGTCCAAACATACAACTGTATGTTTAATGTCATTCTTCAACAAAGAGAAAATAATTGTACAATGAAAGTGGCATCTTCAGCTAACTAAAAATAAAGCTCGAAAAAGGGTTGTAAAAAAGAGTAATAATACATACACGTATATATAAATATAGTTTGCAAAAATACAACGAGGGTGTAATAAATAAATACATTCAAGTATATACTGATAATAATATAATAATAATATATAAATCTACATCTACACGTTATCACAGTTGAATAATACAGACTTTGGCCTACACGTTTCATTTCACAAACCATGCTTTCAGTTCGTTGTCAAATGATGAGGAACTACGACACTGTAATAGACAATTCTCAAATACCATTATTTCCATACCATTGACATTATAATATATCCCTAGATCACACACTGTCATGTCCGCCCGCTCTCTGCTCTCTTTATAAAAACTTCTCTGTCAGCACTATGAGCCTTGCCTTTACGTCCAAATGAATGGAAAAAACAACAGTATCGCCATAGTCGAGTGCACGCGGCATCTTCCACCCTAGTCCTTAATTTGGCTAAATTTTAGTCAAACAATGCGCTCCATAGTGAATCAGAAATACGCAACAGTGCACGATCTAGGATTATTTTAATACACGCCTACGTACCTCATTTGTTTATTATATAATATGTTTATTTAACACACCAAATACTCGTCACACTGAAATTCGGAACGTTACACTGTGTGTATGACTGTTATGTTAATGTGAATGGATACGTGTCAAGGATTAAAAAAGATTTGATGAAAGCTCATGAGGGTGACATGTGTATGAGGAAGTTGACGAGAAACTTCCAAATATTTACACGAAACAAAACGAAGGGAGCCTGACTTTTGAAGAAGAATGGATCAAGACGTGATTTAAGATTAAGATTATTTTTGTATAATGTGTTTGGACCAACTGAAGGAAGAAAGAGAGTTCCTGTTTTTATATGCTTACATAAGAAAATATATATGTAAAATTGGATTAAAGTTCTGATATATTCATGTTCAACAAGTATGCCATACTCAGCGTTCATCTTGAACCAAATAATTGCGTTCCATCATCATGTTAATTAACATTATTCATTGTGGAAGATGTATTTTTTTTGTAAAGCAAGCGAATAAAAAACCGTAATATCATTATTTCAGTCCTTATTTTCAACGCACGCAGATTCATTCGAGTCGTTCGCTCTAAGTCTAACAAACACAAACCTTCCAGTACTCTTTCTCTATTTTCTTTTTTTCTTTGGGGGAATTTGATTTGGTCCCTGCCGTAAACTGGCCACCTTCTGTTACGTACTTTTCTATTAGCTTGTCCTTTTTCGTATCGGGAGAATCCAAGGGCAAGTGCAATAATTATTTTCTGTCAAAGGGTAGGTGGGCGGCTTCTGTTGTAGATTATCTATTCTTTTGAAGAACATCTTTAACACCATCCAGCTCTGTTTACATGATCTACCTCAATTGACTTTATTTGTGGATGCGGGAGGTGGAGGGGGGGGGGCTTTTTTGTTTGTCGTTATCTTCTCACGGTACCTTTGACTAACGAAAGCTTTCCTTTTGGGGGGTTGTCAACCTTCAATGTATATTATTATATGATTGAGAGGTGTTGTATCCTTGCCGATCTGCGTACACAACAAATTATTATTACTTCTGTTTCTTCCCTTTGTCAGACACGTCATCTTTCTTCGACTTGACCCTTACTTCTTTTTTCTTCGACTTTTCTTTTTCGCCTGACGCTCCGTCTTTCTTCGACGTGGCTGCCTCTCGTTTTTTCACGACTTCTGCTTTCTTCTGGTCCCCTGTTGCGCCGGCGGCTTTCGGAGGGGCGTCCACGCTAGACCCGCCCACTTTCACAGGGCGAGCTCCGGGAATTTCCACAGTGCTGCCCCTTCTCTTCTCCTCCACGTGCTCTACATTGTCCTGCTGAATGGAGACCACTCGCTGTCTCACAATGACGAAAGGGCGGGGCTTTCGGGGAGGAGAGGGGGATTTAGGTTCAGGCATTGGGGGGTAATGGTGCGGGGGAAGTTGTAGCTGAGGCCAGTGTTGTTGTGGTGTTTCGGGTGCGCTCGGGGGCGGTAAGGTGGCGGTGGACAGGGCAGCAGCAGCTTCGGCTGGGGGCAAGGTGGGTTTACAGGCCGGCGGCTTCTCTTTCTTCGTGTCAGAACTCTTCTTCTTTTTAGACAACAAACGTTGCATGAAGCCTAAACCTCCACTTTTCTTAGGTTTTTCCGATTTCTCTTTTTCCTCCCCTCCTTTCGTGCTGTTTATTGTGTCTGTGGAACCCCTGGGGGTTGTTGTGTTTGAACTTTTGTCTTTGTCTAAGGAGGAGGAGGATGTGGTGTGAGATATGGAGGTACACGAAGACCGGGGTCGGGGGCTTGGGGGCATGCTTGTGGCAGGGCTGGGGGTGCCATCAGATCTTGCTGCTGGAACTGTGATCAGAAGGTCGGGCCCCAGCAGAGGTTTGGGCATCATGGCAGGAGAGGGAGGAGCAAAGACACCAGAGCTGGTCTGAGAGGAGGAGGGGGAGGAGGTAGTTGGGACGTCCTGGGTGCCCGAGGAAGGACGTGAGGTAGCGGCGGCGCCCGCGGTCGCGGAGGAGGCTGAGGCGAAGGAGGAAGAAGAGGCGTCCGAGCAGGAGGAAGAAGTTCGAGTCTCCGTAATGCTGGGGAGGGGCCGTCTCAGCGGTGGCTTCTCGTCCGGATGGCTATCCTTCCGGACAGCGTGGGCGGGGACAACGTAATCTGGAGGGCTCTTCTTCTTGGTGATGGGGATTTTACTCGGGGAGACTCGAGGGCTGCGACTACCGGCGATCTGACCCGCACTTTCTGCCGCTTTGTTGAGCAGCGTTTGTGTTGGTACCGTTGCTATGCGACCTGGGGCGGAGTTGTATCGCAGCAGAGGAAGCCTACTTGGAGCCAAAGGCTGGCTCCCCATCCGGACAACTCCAGAACGAGGCTCGGCCTTCAGTTTCCGCGGCAGACTCTGAGTGCCATCACAGCTGTTGTCTCCCTGGTTGTCTTCCCCTGATTTACCGCCGTCCACGCTGCTTGTGACCTTGGTGGTCGGCTGGGAGGGCCGTCTGCCTTTCAGGGTTGTGATTGGCTGAGGTTTTCTGATGGTGGGCGTGTCCTTCTGTCTCAGTTTGATGTCGGCCTGCTCTAGCAGATTCCGGACCTGTAGTTGACGACCAGCTTCAGGACTTCCTGGTGGTTTAGGCTGCGCCCGTTGAGGGACATCGTTTGGACTCAATAAGTCCGACTTAGGAGTCTGGCCGGCTGCCGGGTGAGAAGAGAAAAATACGTCTCCATCAGACGTTTTCCGGCGGGTCGGGCTGTTGAGTCGTTCGGACACATTTCTCAGCTTGGAGATGCAGGCTGTGATCCGGCCGTCCAGCCTAGTGCTGTCCGTCTCAATAGCCACATCTTTTCTGTCCGTCTGCGACGTCATGGTTACCTTGTCAGCTGACCTTGACTTGATGCTGGGTAACATTCCAGGTTTCAGCGTACTTGCTTGGCCCAAGGTGCTGGTAGATTTATCCATTTTGGACACGTAAAAGGTCATGGTTCCTTTGGAGAAGAGATGCCTCATCGGTGTGCAAGTTTCTTTCTCTAATGTGAGGGCGTTTTCTGTATTTACACCGATGCTCACCAAATGTTTCTCCCACTCGTCTCTAAACACGCCGCTTCCCCCACCTACTCCTCCCCCTCCGTCCACCTCCACCATAGACTTGATGATCTCTCCTACACACCTCTTGTCTCGACTCTGAGATGAACTGGTAGATCCATTCATTGCCAGCCCGCTAAACGTCGAGTCCTGAGAGGTCACCATGGATGACGTCATCCCAGACACCGATGACGTGGCTAGCTCTCGGGTCTGAGTCCCCTCTTCTACGCACTGGACAAAGTCTGTGGAGGTCTGGGTGTCCACCATGATGACGTCATTGTCCGAGTCGGAGTCGGAGACGAGCTCAAACGCTGCTTCCGGGACCACGATCAGTTCGTCGACGTCTATCTCACTGAGCAGGCCGATGTAAGGCAGGGACTCCGTGCTGGTGGCCGCGTCCTGGAAAGAGGAGGAAACAAAACACAGTATTATTGTAAAACATTCTTTCCTCTCATAAAACTTGCCGGCTTCTGTGGTTTAGCGATTAGACCCTTTCGATTTCGCATGCAAGAGACCCAAGTTCGATTCCAGAGTGGATAAAACATTTTTGTTATCTAGTACCTTGGTTTTTCTGCTGTTGTATCCGTCTCAGCCTGAACTGGCCTGCCACGCAGGATCTGAAGCCCGTTCTAAATTGTGTTGATGGGGGCGTAAAACACTTACACTAAAAACAATGTTATAATAAAAGAAAAAGGAATGTACTGCTGATGACATTGATGATGACGACGAAGGTGACTATGAACAGGATAATTGCACTGATGATGTCCAATGAAGACATTTCTACAACGAATTGTAAACCAGACCACAGCCAGAAGAACCTCACCTGATGCTCCCTGGCCAGCGGCCGTAGACACGTCATGTCCTCCTCCCAGTCCCCGGAAGTGACGGAGCCTTTGTCCAGCAGACGTGGCTGAGGCGTCTGCACACCTGTGTCCTGGAGACAACAAGTAAAATAATGGGTGGTTGGCGGGTGCTCAGCTGTAGTCAGCTGCTTTTTTCCTATCAAACATCTATCGTTCTGATCTTCTTATCGTTCTATGCTCCTTCTTTTCTTTGTATGTTACTCTCTGGTAATACCTCTTATCTTCGGCACTTATGGGACTATATATTTGTGTTGCGAGTGCAGTAAAACTCTACTAAAAATAAAACCTACATAGGTAAAACATGGCGTCAGCAGTGTATGAAGTATCCATAGAGACATACATTGATAAATATCGTACTAATGTATGACTGACAAGGCATAGCGATATATTGATGAGAAAAAACACTGTGCACTTTCCAGATAGTCGTCATCCAACCACAGTTAAAACTGACCGTTGAAAAGTAGTGGAGAAAGGAATAATCAAACAAGGAAGAACTGAGAGAAGCCCATGTGGCCCGCTCACTGATAAGAACAATTAAGAAACGACAAGTGTACTTTCCAGGACACAGGATTCGACATAACGGTTTCGAATATCTTGCTCTCACTGAGAAATTAGAAAGCAAAAGAGGAAGGGGTAGACACAGAGAAACGTATGTTATGGAAAAACCTGAACAGATGGATAACTGGGAAATGAATTTCAGATCTGGCACTTTATGATGATGACGAGTGGAGAAATGGGTTATCTATGACATCCATGCATCTACTAACCAACCACCTAGTGGCTATATAATATATATATAGCAGAAGCTTAACAACAATAACAGCAGAAAAAAATTTCAAACGTTTGTGCTATTCTCAGTCATGTTCTATTCTACATGAATTTATTTATATTAATACCTATTCGAACCACAAAGTTGTATATTATTATAAAACAAAGCATCTCATTTGATACGTGCAAACTGCTATGCTAGAAGTCTAAATGAATTACAATTTAAAAGTTATATTTTTTGGACAGGTAATAAAGAATGAACAGGGGCAATGACAAGGACAGTTTGATAAGTAACAGATGTCTGACGTATATTTTAAAAAGTGAACTTTCTCCTACGACATTACATATTGTTCATGTAATCACGAAGATACTGCGTTCCCCAACACACTAATAACAGGATCCAATTTAAGCAATAAAAATACGTGCATATATAGCAGACAAAGATTAACCTGTTCCCATATCGGCCTCAGTAAAAACAGAGTTCTCGATTTCATAAAGACGTCTGTACTCCAAAATTTATAATATATTGTTATTTAAAAAGTGTACATTGCTGTTTTCAAAACTGAATTTGAACAATTTAAAAATAGATAAGTCATTCTGAGTTGCAAAGTAAAACCAAACTGTGCTATGTTCTAATGTGAAAACAAACAACTTGTGTCTCGCGCGCTCATATGACCTGATGCAGTTGCGAGGGCCGTAAAATTATTGCCAAGACATAACAACAAGACAGTAACTGACCATCAGAGGCGCGGTTTTTGCTGTGTGGGACTGCTCCCCGGATTTCCTCTTCGACTTCCGGAGCTTACAGACATTGGGGTTTGGATAACGTGAGGTCTCACTTCCAGTATGAGGCAGGGAACAGGGAAGAGCTATCCAGGGGGTTGTGAAGTTTCTCAAGCGTACTAAAGCAAAGGTCGAGAAGCACAAAGCTGACGGCAATACATAATATACTCCTCACGTTTTACAAATGACAAGCCTAAGCCATTTCCAGCACTCTTCCGATGCTCTCAGCACGAGTGCCTAATGTTTCTGTCCTATTGTTACTGCTTTTGAAGTCAAACTATGTCCACAAGTCTAAGCGATTTCCAGCACTCTTCCGATGTATTCAGCACGCGATCATGACGTTTTGGATCTAGTGTTACTGCTAATGGACTCAAACTATATCCAAATTCTCTCAGACGAAACTGCTCATAGAAGCACATGCTGTTCCCGATTTTTTTTCATGGCACGCACATTGACACACTGTTTCTGCTCTTTAGCTTTATAGAGCGATTTTTTTTCAATACGCTCACGTTATTTTATTCCGAGGATGAAGCAAGCCTGGCACAGAATGGCACACGTTAGAATTACTACAGTGGGTTAGCAGTTAGCATCACAGTTAGACGACGAAAAGCACAGTTTCTCAGACGAGGGTTAAGTGGACTAGCAAAGGGTAAAAGCTTTTTACAAAATGTACAACAATTTCATCTGCCACAGCTTTTGGTTCGACTCTCACACAGAAATATCGAACCAAAGTTTTTTTCCCATGCGTTCCAGGAGAGCGGCAGAGGTCTCCGAGGCGCTCAAAGGGCAGCGACGTCTACATGTGAGCGCGGGACACAGACAGGTGTCTTACCTGCAGTGTCGGCCGGTACGAGGAACACGACATCGCCATCGTGCCTACGTCCTGTGTCTTGCGTATCGCGCTGTCGCCACCGCTAGCGGAAGGGGAGTTAACTCCTTCAGCGTTGCCCACTCCACCAGCCTGTCTGGACAAACCGCCGTGATCTTTATCGACGGCGCCGTCACCCGTGGAAAGTGTAGAAGACCCAGGATATGGTACACAGTGCCCGCATTTGGAACAGGCTTGCCCGGGCTGGGGTGAGGGGGACTGACTGCTGGGGGTTGAGGTTCCAGTCGCTGCGTCGTCGACTCTACCACCATGACGTCTGTTGCCCTGGAAATCGGTCATGGAACCTTCGTCAGTGTTGTCTACGCTGTCTGTCCCGCAAGCGGCGGTGTCTGTGATCACCTCCATGCTGGTCTGGGCGTCGGCGTGTAGCGGAGCGTCTGTCAGCGTCTCGTTGTCACAGACCAGCAGCACCATCTCCGTGTGGGAGTCGCGGTAAGACTTCACGTCCGTGCCTGTCGCCTCGTCGTTGGTCAGGACCGGTGTCGTGCCCACCCCTGTCTCCAGAGTGGCGGGGCGGGGTGGGGTGATGCCTGTGCTCACCATCTGTGGGTTGACAGTCTCCGTCCACTGGTTCACGGTCTTGGTCGGCTGTGTGGCTGTGTCTCTGTCCACTTTCTTCACGCCGGTGGTTTCGGTAGCTGCCGTCGAAGTCCTGATCTTGGTAGTCTCGGTCGCCTTACAGGGGCGTGGGAAAATGATGGGGTCGCTGGCGGTGTCTCTTGTGACTAAACTGCCAGAAGCACCACCAGCGAGAGATTGTACGCCACTGCCCCCTCCTCTCTTCTCTTCGCTGTTGCCGCTAGTCTCACGTGTAGGCTGGCTGGAGGACGACACAACTGTTGCGCTGTTCTCTAGGAAGTCGCTAGCCTGGCATTCCTGATCGCACTGCATTGTGATGGGTGTGTTGGTCGTAGCCGCGTTCACTTTGGGATTGACCTGGACAGCAAAGTTCTCACGCCGCACTTGGATGGTCCCGACCGCGCGGTGCTGGGTGGATGTGCTCACGCTGTCCGTCGCGCGGTCACAGGTGGACACCTGGTCAGTGAGCACAGCTCGGCTCTCCTTGTACACGTTGACGGTGCACGTCTCCTGGTCGGATTTCTCTAGGCGCTCCGTCTCTGTGTATTTCTCCTCCATCTTAGGCGTTCGTCTTCTCCTCTCGGCACCGCCCTCCTCACTGGTTGGTTCCGGCGACGTCTGCTGGTCTCTTGTCTCGGGGACAACCCTCACGTCCTGGTCTGTCATCGTCCCGGCTTCTACTCCTCGCACTCTCTGGGGAGTTTCCACTTCTGCAGCTGCTACTGCTGCCGCTGCACGCCGGCGAGTTCTTCTTGCTTCAAGGTCACTGGAGCCCGTGTCGAACCTCCGTGTCCTGCTGGGTGAGTCTAGTGGGGCCGTGTCCTGCATATCCGCCCTTTTCGTTCTGGCTAGGAGTTTGGTCAGTTCTGCGTCAGTCAGCGTATTTTCCTCAGTGCCCGTGTCTAGAGCAGAGATGTCTGTTTGGATGCGGCGACTGAAGATCTTCCTCCCAGGGGAGTAGAGATAGGGTGAAGACGGCAGCAGATCTGGGGCAGGCATTGGTTCAGTTCGGACAGGTGTTGTCGGTTGTTGGTCCAGGCTCTGATTGCTTCCTAGCTGCGAAGATGAAGAAGTCGTGGACGACGTGTCCGTTTGACATGTGAGAGATCTGACGTCACTCCTCTCCGTCATGGTCCCCCGGGCTTTGACGCTCTGCGCCGCTGTCGCCACCATTCCCCTGTCTCTCGTCTCTACGGACACCGTACTCGTATCACGTGACACAAGTGTCTTCCTGTCCGTCTGAGAGTCTGTGTGTGCCACGCGGGGTGTGGTCGTCACGTCAGACATCGTTGTGGTGTTAGCGTGGTTCTCTCTGGCTATCCCGCCACGGCCACGCAGGACATCCGGCGAATTGTTGGTCACCCCTGAGGACAAGGAAGAGGGCGGCGTAGCGTAGCTTCCGGAGTCACTGTCCACGCCACTGCTGCTCGTCGCCGGCTCGCCGTTCTCCGAGGCTTGGACGTTGTCTCCCCCAAAGTTGAGCTCTCCCAGAGTGACGTCACCAGGGACAAAAGTCAACTCGGAGAGGTCAACTGCCACCACGTGATCGGGTTTCACGGGTTCTAACAGGGTCGTCATCTTTGACTGAATGTCTTTCTTTACTAGTAGAATATCCACGCCTTGTTCCCTGAAGACAGAGTTTTCAAATTGTTCGGGTTATTTCTTAGGCTAGAAAATATATACTCGGCGCTGTAACTGTTATTCAAATTCATACAAAATGGCAGGAATAGACAAATTACTAAGGAAAAGTAAGGAAGCAAAATTTTCCATTGATACTTTCGAACCACACGAAACGAGCCGCGAAGAAAAGAAAATGCCATGTAAGAAACAGTAGATCACGAAAACACGACATTTATCAAAATTTCACTTCATGGCATACTAGCTCGATTGAAGAGATGTTTCTTTGCAGACGAATTGTACAGCTACAAACATTTTCAGAGTGACATCGGTTAGATTACTTAACTCACCGATAAAACAACACAAAAAACCAACAAAACAAAACAAAAACAAAACAGCTACAGCGACAACACTACCACAACCTCCTACCAAACAAAACAACGACAAAATAACTACAGCAACAACACATAAAACACCTAAAACATTGCCCTCGACAACTTACTTAAGCATGACGTCTGTAAGCTTGCAACAACTGTCCAGGTCCGCCTTGTACTCATGTAGACTGTTCTTCTCCTGGCTCAGCTTGCTGACGTCACCGCCACACAGACCGTCCAACTCCTGCATCAGTTCCCGTTCCCGGGATCGCACCTGGGGATGACCAAAGGGAGGGGGGAGGGGGTGAAGGTAACGTCTATTACTTTTTATTTAGGTAAAAGTTTTAGGACACTTGCAAGGCGATTAGGTCATGTAGGTGTGGTCATGTAAGCGCCGAAGATTAAATTTTAATTAATGACTAGAGAATAACATACAAAGAAAAGAAGCAGGAGAGATAACGACGTTATGTGTTTGATAGGAACGAAGGAGCAAACCCCACGTTTATTATTTTCATTATGATGAATTCTGTAGAGTGTTGTAACAACAACAATAATAATAATAATAATAATAATAATAATAATAATAATAATAATAAAAATAATAATGATAATGATAATAAAAAAGAAGAAGAAGAACAAGAAGAAAAATAATGATAATAATATTTCTTAATAGCGCCCACTCCCGTTCAATGCAGCTTTTGGGGATTTGTATACATACACTCTTTACACGAACACTAACACATACGCAGACATTCTTACCAACACAGCACAATCAAAGACTATAATATTATACACATCACATTATGAACATAAAAGTATAGTGATTAAGAAAGGAATGGCTATCAAGATTACTTTTCAAGAAGTATATTTTAAAACGAATTCTAAATTTTGCCTTCGACTTTGTATCCTTAAATGTTGTAAAATTGTTCCAGATAAGACCTCTCAGCCAGTAATCACTTCGATGGGACAGTGTTTCATTTAGGAATCAATGAAATTACGTTTATTGGAGAAATACAATTTTTCTTAACTTCAATTGTAAGTTGTAAGAGAGATATTTTTCCCTTGGTCTTGAAAAACGCTGTGACAATTTCTATGAAGTTGGAACTGCAATGAGTTTTTTCCCCCCCACTTTTCAAAGTCACAATTACATATAAGGCACGCCTTTCTGTTGTTAGCGGTTCGTTCCACTTTGCGGTTTGAGTCGAGGTAAACAATACGGTAATAATAGACAATAGGTAGCATTTGTATAGCGCAAATCTCAGCTCAACAGCAAGCTCTATGCGCTTCACAATCTATACTATTACCCCAGCAGACCTGAGAGCATTCTGAAACAACCTCAACTTCCTGGGAAGCATATAGTGCAAGCAGCCATTTATAGGCGCTAAAACACTAACATACGGACAGGTTATTTCGCTGTCCATTGCCAGGTGAAGTGAGGAAAATTCGTGTAAAGTGCCTTTCCAAAGGACACAACGTCGGGCCCGCGGCTCGAACCCCCAGACCCGCAACCTCACGATTACGAGTCCGGTAGTCTAACCACTAGGCCACCGACGGTAAAAGACCCTTGTTCGAAATTCGTAAGAGATAGAAAGCATTCTAGGGAGTCTCCAAAACAATTCAAATGACTTGTGCATGGAGGTGTCAGCTAAGATCACAATCTTACAAGTTCGTCTTCGGCAAGACAATGTGAAATGGTGGCGGGGGGGGGGGGGGGTATTGGGAGGAGGGTTTCAATACTTCCAATACAACCTCTGCTCACTTAACGCTCGTGTAGGCATTTATCCCTCTTCTCTCACTATACTCTAGTATCTTGCTGATTAATTATAAGACCCCCCCCCCCCGCCGCCATTTCCATCTTCCTATATCTCCTGTTGTATACAGACATTGCCATCCCCATTTGTGTTAAGACTTCCAAACTCTCATTCAAGGTCATGACCATTTCAACCCTTCGTAGAGTAAATGTGCACGCGTTTCACACACCCCTATCAACACTTGCCCTGCGCAGATCTCCACCGGTATGTCAGATATCACACTACAGTAAGCAAAAACAAAAACAAAACAACAACAACAACAACAACAACAACATCACACCCACAAGCCATTACTGGGTGAATGACGTCCACACTGCCCAATCAGCATGAACCGCCAAAACTCGACAAGCCCTCGGAAAATGAGTATTCCTGGGAGGCTGGCGGCTACAAATGAGGCAGAGACGGAACAGTGCGCGTGCTCCGAGGCTAATTGAGCAAAGGGGACATGTTCCATCACGGTGATCGCATTCACCTGCCCGCTGAGGGAATCATGCTTAAGGAGCCTCAGAGCGGAGGGAAGTCACGGGCGTGGCAACACGGGGATGTCTTAGAATTATATAGTGCTATCTGACATTTTTGGCCGTTTTGAGTTACTAAGACCATGAGGTCAGAAACCAAATGTTCTATCTGCTCTATCAAAATCGTACGATTATCCGTAGTCGTTATCAAGATATTCAATGAATTACATTCAAAATATTGATGTGTTGTGAAACTCAAAAAAATTTAAAGTTATATTTCTAAAAACTAGGTACTGAGCAGATATAACTTTGTAATTCCAAGCTTAAGTAGCGACGCGTTTTCTCCCTGCGCCTAATTACGGCTGTCTGCTGGCACAATCCGTTGAGCATATTTTGTGATGAGGAAAACGGATACTCGTTCGTTTATTCGCATTATGTTCTATATTATTTGGTTCAACTGTCATGTAGTATTTCCCTCATCTCTTTGAGTAGCAATATTTTTTCTAAATGTAGGTATTTTTACACACAATTTAGAATGCCTGTCAGTGCCAACCCGGGCTGACAGAGATACAACATCATAGTAGAAAGACAGGAATGGTCAATAAAAATTATCCAACTCGTGAATCGAACTCAAATCTCCTGCGTGTGAAAGCAACGCGCTAAACCGCTACACCACATACGCCGTTCCCTCCCCTTCTCCGCCCCACAAACTGTTTTGGTATGATGTCAACAAAGCAGGAACAGAAAGATCGAAAGCACAGCAAGCAAAGCGAGGACTCCTCTTCTTTCTCTCCCTCTCTCTTTCATACTGCCCTAATCTCATCCTCTCTTTTTCCCTCCATCTTCGAATACTCTTCCTTTATCCGTCTCTCTCTTTCTCTCTCTCTCTCTCTCTCTCTCTC